TTCAGCCGCTCTTATACATCATTTAAGTAAAATCTCAGGAAGATCAATAGTTTTGTAATTCGAATTTTAGTGACGTCATGTGAAAACCAGCTATATGTTTTAATTGTGACAATAAACTTACATTAAAGTGGATAAGAGATACATCGAATAGCATCTTACATGCGCCAAAGCTGGACACGTAAACCCCCAAAAAATTCTTATTAGGAAAAATAGGGACCGTGTACCCCCGACCAAATGCAGTGGCCCCACCTTTGGAGTTTTAAGGTTGATATATAAACAACAGAATGAAAGATAAATCAGATAACATTATTTATACAATAAAAATGAACCTTACGCGAAAGTGCTAGCGGCAAGGCTGACTGTAGAATGTCACCAATTTCTCAACCGTCTCGTTTTACAAACGTACCAACCATGAGCCCTCGCGTACTACACTAGCACTCAGCTCTCTGTTCTGTGTCGGCAAAATATTAATTTATGTCGATACTGATTATCACAAATTACATTTTCCGTGCACTGCGAGGCAAGAATTTGCAGTTGACAAGTTGTTGACCAGGTTAAGAATATTTTATATTGAATAAACTATTCATATATTTTTCCTTTAATTATTATTTGCAGGTATCGAGATTCTCAGTGTGTACAAGTTTGGTTCAAAGGTATGTCGTAGACAACAATTTTTCCGACACCTGTAGTTTAGGGTCAAGAACCAATAAACGCTTCTCAGCTTAGCTTTGTCCTACGGGGAGGCGCGTTGGCCTACTTCCAGATCAAACGGTCTGGGTTGGGTTGAGCCCTGCCGGGGTAAATGTGTTTGGCCAAGACACTTTATCATCACGGTATCTCTGAGTACTGCATGGTGAACTGTTAGGTAAACCTGTGAAACACTTCTAGTTGACTTATACCACAGAAACAATTCGGGACTCCGGTGATATGAAACACCTTGTCCCAAAGTAGACTTAGGCTTTAACCATCTTTTTCCCACAGGCTCTCTCGTTTGACGCACACAGTTTGACAGTTCCTGTTATTAAGTGGCTTGGTGTGTTACCCAGTGACATCAACAGGTATTTATCAAAGAAACTTTCAAATGATCTTCTTGCGCTTTTGGGTATACTCTGTTGAACCAGCAATATATTCACCTGCCTATCAAAATATTGTCAGCTGGAAGTTATTTGAGCTTCTAGTAATCCTCGTTGTCGTGAATCAACATGCAAAAACTTTTGTCTTATTTCAGGCTATCCATACCACGCGATAAACTGATACCGCTCACCGATGGAGACAAATGCAAGGCGCGTCAGCTTCTTGAAAGACCTTACATTAAATCACAAGATGCCTGGTTACAAGAGGTACCAAAGACTTTGTTAGATCAGTGATGATCGGCTAATGAGTATTTGTAAGAGAAAGCAACGCTTGAACCAGCGCTATAAACGCCGAACCTGTTCAACAGTTCAGTTCAACATCCGTGCGAACACTCGTTAGAATTGCAGGGGCGGATCCAGGATTTTTCAAGCGGAGCGGAGGAGGGTGTTCCTCGGGGTTGCAGAATCAATGGGGCATGCCCCCAAAACGTTGCAATTTGAGACCTGGAACCTAACTGAAACCTGTGACACCAGAATTTTTTACAGTGAGGTACCTGTCCAAAGTTTGCCTTTATTTCTGCCATTATATTCAAAATCTTTTTTATTTATTTTTCTTTTAATTTTTTGCTTCTCTTAAAGAGATCGACCCAATCCACCCCCAAATCCGCCCCTGAATTCGTCTGTTCTCCGAGTTAATTATGAATCCATCATGAACGACATGGACCAATATTACTCTTGCGTGCTTACAAATTTTATTTTGCTCCATTTCACTCGCTCGGTAGTTGTGCAAAGATAATAGCGGCCGTGCATTCAACTCAATGACACAACACAGTACTCAAAACTGAGGGGAGGTGAAGAGGACGTCTTAGGGGTAGTGAATTTGGGACATTTCTTGTTATCTTTGGGTATAATATTTTTCCGTAAAAGGGTTGCTATCAATTACTAGGCCATTTCTAAGTTGCCTTTCGTCTCTGTGTCAAAACGAGTCTGCGTGCAAAACCATTCATATGAAAATGAGTTCCTCCTACCGGTTCATTTTCATGCAAATCAAACTCATTTTCAGATGAAAGGTTTTAAACAGACTCGTTTTGAAACAGAGGCACAAGGTAACTCGGAAATGGCCAATTGTTTAATTCCATGTGTACTTTCAGATCGACTCCATGTTATCGCTGGGATACAAGGCAGAAATTCAAGCTCTTTCTTCCATCTCCTTTGACTTTCTTACAGTTACTTATCTCCCAGTAAAGATTAAACATGGCAGGTGGATCTGACGCGACAAACATTTACCTGGCCAGGCTAGCTTTCCAACTTATATATATTCTGTACAAAAGTAGCTTGTAAAATCAAACATTTCGTCTACGATCTCTCAGTAACGGCGTATCTTTGCAAATTCTCGTAGTACCCGACATTAATTTAAGGACCAAACCAAATCGGAAGAAAATGTCAAGTTTTGTGTCGACACACCAGTTGATCAAATCCCGTTGACTGATCAGTCTGAAAAGAAAGCCAGGAAAACGAAGGCTTTTTCCGTGACTAATCAGTCCAGGTTGCCTTTGTTTCTGTCTCAAAACGAGGCCTCCTGGTCTCGTTTTGAAACAGTGGCAAAAGGCAACTCGGATGTGCCTGGTACCTTGAGTATCATCGAGGTGGCGTGTAAGGTTTTGGACAGATCGTGCTTTATTCTGACTTGACCATTAAAATCGGCACTTGCTCAATACCTTGGCGATGTTTTGGCAAAACAACGCTTGGTCTACCAAATGAGGAGTAGTTTTACTATGACAATATTCTTTTCAGAATTTCACCTCTAAGTAACATTCCAATTCCGTCTACAAATGCAGTATATTGAAAAAAAAAATTAAACAATTAAGTCAATTGTAAAAGATCTCACTGTCGTGTTTTAAAGTGTAATTTGGAAGTGTTGTATCCCTTTGCACTGTACAAGACGCCCTCTGGGTTGTAATGTACTAAAATAAAAAGTTATATCCAGCTGAGTCTCGTGATAATTCTTAGTTCTACATTTTGTGACTGCCAATCCTTACATTTCCCTCGCTATCATCTCTACTCCTCTTCAAAGGTCAACAGAGGATTACTGATAAGACATTTTAGAGTGCAGACGCACATTTAACCAGTTAAGTACGTAAAAATCCCAAGTTTGCCTTACACTGTTACAACTGTAAAGGGCAACCCTTTAGAGTTACGCAGACACCGTTCACTTTCACAGATTCTTACATTTTATTACCACTAAATTTGTTGAAGCCAAACCTGGGTGATAAACTATTTACAGTTGTTGTAATGCAGTCCAAAATTGTATCCATAGCACCTGCATTTATAAGTAAACTATCTGTTGTAATCAGCTGAATTCTACTGATTTCTAACGTTACTCTTGGTTAATAACTAAGTATGCTGAAGAGATCTATTGAATGCATTGTAAGCTTGCTCTAGATCAAACAACATCTGTCGCACTTGTTCATCAGTAAGTTCATCACTTGCTTTCATACTGCTTAGGGTTTCATACCTGTGGTTTACAGGATAAACAAGTCAGTAATCAATAAGCAGAACTCACCTACTGGCCAAGTGGCGTGTGTTTTCCTCGCTAAAATTTATGTTTAATATCTTAATCCAAACCTGCTAGATATATTTGTTTACACCTTATTTGAAATAATATTAAATTTCTGTCATCAAAATACTTTGAAGAGTTTGATCATGCATATGAAAAGGGTTAAGTTTAGTCACCTGAAGGTAAGTACTTGCAAGCTAAACTACATGGAAAACCAACAAGTGTAAGGTAGCAAGCAAAATTGCCAGGCTTCACATTTGGATCTCAGGTCTGATACAGAAGCAATAATATCATAGTCACGTAATGCATACAAAGTACTCTACATGCATTACATGCCCACTGACACTGGTGCTTTGCAATAAGACTTCATACTTTATACTTTCTCTGAGCTACCTACAGCCTGTGAACACAGACGGATTTACAGCTTTTTTTCTGGAAATTTGTCTGTGTTTGCAGGCTACAGTGTATGAGGTATATAGCAAAATAAAATCCTCACCATTGATTGACCTTGACTTTTCCCTCAAAATCTTCAGGAAGTGCACTTAAGCTATTCATGGTATCCATCAGATCTCTCAGATCTGGATGAATCTGTTTCAGGAAATAACCAAGAAAGACAGTTGAGTTTCACAACTTTCAATTACATTCATTGTATAATGAAAAAAAAATGATTAAATTAACACCAGATGAATTTACAATGAACAATGTGGAAACCAGAATCAGGAATTTAACAAACAGGAATTTACTTAACAGGGCTGTCATAGAGGGATATTACACCTGTTACGTTTGAGTATGCTTGGTGTGCCCATTGATGTTAGGGCTGAACTTGTGTGTTGTTGATGTAATTCACTGACCAAGCAAGAAGTTTGTTATGGGTGTGAAGATCCCCTAAAAATGTTGACCATAGCCTGCAGTGTAGGCGTCTTATTGGGGTGAGTTAGCGTTACAACCTTGCGACTGCCTTTTTACACCGCCATGTTAGACCGCCATGTTCCTCTTGCCTATCATTTACCCCATTGGTAAAACTTTCTTTCTCTCCCCAGTCTTCCACTGCATGAAAAATTCAAGATGGCGGCCAAACTTTTTACGATGTGAGCGCTCGCTCGAAAAAATCTTGCCTGCTCTGCAAGCTACGTTGACCAAGGAACTGCTTAGCTTTATTCAGTGATATTTTAAATTTACTTGCTGAATTCTGCAGTAAGCTTGGTCCAGTCTAGTCCAGCCTACTCTTTCTAGAGGAAACTGATAACTTTTCAGTAGCAGTGGTAAACCTTAATTTCAGTCACATATTGCTTTGATTTAGCAATTACAATAAGAACCTGCATGTAAGAGCCTAGTGGTTTAAGAACTTGCTGACAGAAATTTGCCATTTGAATACCCAAAAACATAAGACCTGTTTAGCCAAGCAAAATAAGGCAGGTTTCTGATATGTACACGGGTTACTGTTTTATGATAAACATTTTAACAATATGCAGGAGAGTGACTTTGAGATGGCAAATTTATGTTACAAGAAAATACATAATACAGTAGTAATGAATAATTATTGTATGGCTGTGTCTCACAAGGACTGGGAAGTACCGAATTCCCGAATTTGATTGGCTGAAATCGATACTGACTGTGGTCTAGATTTTCCCATCCAGACCGGTTTCATTTTGCATTGAAAAAGTAGCAAACTAAAATACAAAAATATTCACCATTTTCTTTTATTTTCTTCTCAATCATTTATGAAAG